AGCTTCTAGGAAAGGCTGTTGGTTGCAACTGATTCATTTCCAGAAATACTTGGGGACAGAAGGACTTGACTTTATTTTTCACTCTGCTTTGCACAGAAGGGGCTAGTGGCTACTTTGATAAATTACAGAGCCCTCTGTGCAAAGATGTGATCTACATTATCCCTAGTGAATAGCACAGCAACTGTGAGATAGTTCTTGTCATTAGCCCCACTTTGAGGATGAGTAAACAAAGGCTGGGAATGGCTGGCTGACTCTCTCAGTGTCACAGAGCCTTGTGAGAGTTGGAACTTTAATTCGGATCTGTTTGACCCCCAAACCGAGTAGTGTATTGAGAAGGGACAATATGGCGGATAAAAGCATTGGCCTCCCCACTGGAGCAGATGCTTCAGGGATGCCTTTGACGTGGGGCCACCAGAGTTTGTTGGGCGTGGAGGGGATAGCCCTCTACTTCCTTGCATGGCAGCTCTGAGGAGGCAGTAGGAACTTGGTTGGTATATAATAAACTACATTGATAAGTTTTCTGCTCTAGACCTGGAATGGTGAAGAAAGATTCTTCGGGTGTTTCAAATTAAAGAACTTGCAGAAGTTATTGAGGCTAAGCCTGCATTCCCTGTGTCTGCACGGGAGTGGGAGTCAGGCCCCAGGCAGGAAACAGCAACTCGTGGGAGCCCATCTTCAGGAAGAACCGAACTCTGCAATGCATGGCTAGAAGGGATAGAAAAGATGGGAAAAGGGGAGGGATGATGACCACCACTCAGAGGCCAAATGGTGACTCACGACAGATGGCAGAAAATACGGGCTTTTGAGAAGGATAGAAATAGCTTCAACAAAGCCACGTGAACCAAAGGGCGCCAAGAGAAGTAGGTCAGAGGTGAAAGCAGAATATCAGGGGCCTGAAGCCTGAGGCCTGGAAGAGACAGGCGCAGAGAAGAACTACAGTCAACGCAGAATGACTGGAGACTCTGCAATCCAGGCACCAGATTCTTAATATCTGCCTCATTTCTGTGGGCACCCCTAAACTCTTCACCCAGCAAGAAGACTGATCGAGCTTTATTTCTGTTGTTTATTTTACAAAAGCAATAGGCACATATTTTTATTCTGAAGATATAAAATGTAAATGTTAAATATCTTCTTTGTAGATCGCACAGAAAAATCTAAAACAGAATCTTTAGCCACCATCTGTCCTTTGATCTTCATAGACTTTGGGTTGAAGAATAGAGAGGGAATATTCGTAGAAAGAATAAATAATAAATAACTTTTACATTGTGTTTTAAAATATGTAAAGTGCTTATACACATATTATACATTCTTCATGACACCCTAGGTTGGTGAACTTCATGGATAAACACCCAGATTTTGACGCTACGAGGGCAGGAGACTTGGATTTTAACTTGTTTTCTATGAATTTATATTTTGCTTTTTTCTTAATTAGTAGAGTTGATTTTGGAAAATCCCAGCCGAGTCTTGGCCAGGAGTTAGAAAGGACTCCTTCTGGTGAAGTAGTCAAGTCCTGACATTGCAAGGGGGACATACCCGCATCCGGTTCCTGCCCCTGTCACTTGCTAGCGCACTGTGCCCTCGGGCAGATAGCTTCACCTCTCCGAGTCTGTAAATGAACAGTAATACCTGCCTCAGAGAGGTGTTACGAGCATCAGATGCAGTGGTAGAGCTAAAAGCATTGGACAAAATGTCAAGCCAGTAGCAAGTACTCAATATAGTAAACGGTTATTGTTATTGTCGTTGTTACTAGGTTTTTTCTCCTTAGAGGCCAGTTGCAGGGGCAGCTGAGGATTCTGCCTGAGATATTTTCTGAGAATCAGGGAGAGGAGGCAGAGTAAGGACAACAAAAGCTGAGGGCCAGCTGGCGGGAGAGGGGACCTTCTCCTTCATAGTACGTACGTGCCTTTCTCTTCCCGATTTCTTTGCTCCCTGCTCCATACCTGGCCTTCCGTACCAGACTTCGATGACCCTGGTTCCTACCTAATCCTCAAGGTTTCACACTGATTTCCTCTTTGGAAATCTCCAATCAAAGTATTAAAGTGAGTCGTTAGCAAAAACCAATATGTGGGTTATTTCGTAGACCATTTTTTCCAGCTTCAGAAGCTGAGTATTGATGGATGTTTACACAAACCCCCCACCTCTCTCTCCCCCTCACCCCCCAAAAAATGGCAGACCAGGGACCGCCCCCCATACCTGAGTCTCCTGTGTGTCTGTCGGCTCCTGGCATAGCATCTCACACCTAGAAGGTGCTCATTGCTGGGTGGGAGGAAAGAGCCAAAAGAACTCATCAGCCTGTACCAGAGCCCCTCTGATGGGAGCTCATAGAGTTTAAGTTGAGAGGTAGCTATAAACTGGTACAGGAAACCAGTCAGTTGCAGGGCGTGGATTTCTGGTGTTCCCATCAGGTTTGCTGGGGCTTGGCTGTCGTCCGCTACCCTCCCTCTCCCCAAACACACACACACACACACACACGCGCGCACGCGCGCGCGCGCGCGCGCGTGCACGCACACATGTTCTGTTCCACAGGTGGAGTGGTAACTTAAATTTAGAGAAATGTTACCCTGGAAGCACTGAGATCAAAATGAGCATATCAGAGCCCTGTCTTGTTTTGTTGTTGTTGTTCATTAGTTTGTTTCTGTTTTTTACATCTTCTATGTTGCCAAAGAAGTGACAGTTTTAGCTGGTGTGGTCTTTCCCATGTCCCTTTGTATTTTTCTGTTTGTGAGATACTTAACGTCCAGAGGAGGAGGGATTATTGGCAGCCACTGTGACCTGTAAGTGGTTTTCTTCACTGTTAATACTGTCCAGGGAACGCGCAGAATGGAAGCCGGAAGTGCCTGGGTGACAGAGCAGTGTCGCGGTGTCGGTGGCTGCTCTTCGGATCACAGCAGGCTGTCTGTTCTTCCCCTTCCTCCCCCACGTCCCCCACATGGCCTCCTACCTCAGCCATGAGCGCATTCTTCGAATATCACATTCTGGGACATTCTTGCACCCCACACCAGGCTGCCCAAGGGGCTTTCGGAAATGAATGAAAGCTTTCTTAACTAATGATATTCTTGACCATCTGTCCAGCTGGTCACTGAGAACATAAGGCAGATGCTGCTCTCTTTTGAAAATTTTATCCTGGTCCTTGTAAAAATTATCAGTGTAAAGATTTCCTGTGTATTGAATCTGAAAGAGGACGTCTGCTGATACATTTTCATTGTAGATTTTTTTTTTAAAGTATGATTACTGTGATGCGTGGGTCCAAGAAATGACTTTTTTTTTTTTAAAGTCCTGGGCTAGTGTGTACGAGTTTATATTCATGCTCTGCCACTTTGGATTTCTCAGTGTTTAAAAAAGTAGGTGTCTTTATCCCTCTGTTTTTAACATTTAAAGCTAACAGAAATATGGGAATTTACGTGGGGGAGGAGGGGTCTCACCACAACATAAAAGTCCTAAAATTAGAAAACTGGGCAAATGTTTGCTCCTGCACCGTTTTTATTAAGCTACAGGAATGTATCTTGAGGAAAAGGCTGGCGGAGTCAGCTGGGTGGAAGCTCAGGGCGGCCTTGTGGCTGGCTGGGGCGGTATTTCTGAGGGGAAGCAGTGGGCGTGTGTGCGTGTGCGCACGTGCCGATGTCCATGCTCGTGCATGTCCTCTGTGGCAGCTCTTTCAGACGGCTGTTGAGAAACCTCCCCAACAGTGACAAGGCCTGGTATGAATCCCCCAGGAACTGAGGGACAAAGGAGGTGACAGAGGATGAGATGTAGGCATGTGAGCTGGAGTTTGGGGCAGAAAGATGCCACATTCCACCAGTATCTGTTGTGGGAAGTTTGACAGGTCTCAGAAAAGACCTCACTGGGCTGCAAGGAAGCCAACCGGGGCAGACACTGCCGAGTGGTCAGCATGCGGGGAGGAGTTTGCCCTCTGGAGAGAGAAGGGGGCATTCCTTCTTCCCAATGATTGTTAAATGATGACTCCCTCAACCAAAATGCAGCGGGGGGAAGTCATTTGTGTGTGTGCAAGGCTCAGGCAAGTTCAAATAAAGATAATGATACGCTAAAGCATGAAGAAGTTGCCTAAAGTAGGTGCCCTCCCCTTGCAAGGGGCTCATTTGAAGGCATTTGCCCACTCTGTATTGAGGCTTTAAAATTTGTTCATCATCATACAGCTGCCATCTTTATTTTAAGGATTAATTTACCATGAATCCAATCTGGGCTTTGCTAAGCCGAGACCAGTTTTATTTCAGTTCCTAGGCGTTCATTGCAGAGATGCTGTGCAGTTTCTCTGCTTGGTTTTGTGGATGCTGCCCTCAGTTTTGATGCTTACTTTTTTATCCCTCTGGAGTATGTTCTACGTGATTCTGATTATCTTCATCAGTGAACTGAAAAAATAAGCTCACGTCCAAAGGGGAGAAACATTTTCATAATGGAAAAACAAGATTATAATAGAGTAAAATACCGTTGTCTCTACGCCTCCAAGTTAAAGTACGTTTGACCCTTGCACAACACGAGTGTGAAGTGCGTGGATCCACTGCTATTCAGCTTTTTTCCCCAGTAAATACCTGCACTGGTTTTGGTCTGCATTTGGGAGTCCAAAGATGCAGAGAACCGACTGTATGCCTCGTTCTGTGCCATTTTATTAAGGGACTTGAGCATCTGCGGATTTTGGTGTTCGTGAGGGGTCCTGGAACCAATTCCCCCACAGATACTGAGGGATAACTCAAGCTTTGGGGGAAGTCAAAAATCATAAGTGGATTTTAGACTGTGTAGGGGTTGGTGCCCCAAACTCCCATGTCATTCAAGGGCCAACTGTTCTTATTTAGGTAAAATATTTAAACGGTTCTTTCACCAGGCATTTATTGTAATGTGTATTTGTGCAATGCGTTCAATAAATCCTTGTGAAGGCTTTGCTAAGTGCCAAATACTGAAGTCAGTATCAGAAGTACAGTGGTGAGCAAGACAGGCATTGTCCCCGCTTTGCCTCCTTGCATTCGAGAGAGCAGGGTGGGTCACCAGCAGCAATCCTGCAGCCAGCTGAGAAAATTTGGCCGGGGTTCTCATTCCTGTCTCATCTGCTCAAACCAGCATGGTCTGATCTGTAAATGCTGCCTCAGTATGTGTCACCCGTGGTTCGGTCAGTATGCGAAGGATATAAGCTTTATGAAGTTGGACTAAGTGAACTTGCTTGAATGGGTCATTCAAGACATCTGCCTACCTTAGCACAGAAACAAAGCTAGCCCTTTGTGCATTCAAAAAAAAAAAAAAAAAAAAAAAGGCTGTTGTCCCTATTCTCAGAGAACTGAGGTGTCTGGCTCATTGTTAGTTTAGTATTTAAAAAACAAACAACCAGCCAAACAACCAAACAAACAACTCCAGTGTGCTCTTTCTGCGCTGTAGGGCTTCTGCTACAGAAGCCACCCCTGTTCCTTTCACAGCGTCACACCTCTAGACACACCCCATGAACGTCATTTCTTAGTCCGGTTTTTTCCAGTGGAGATAAAGGCAGCCACTCTGTAGTAGAACCTTGTCGAAAGACGAGGCCTCGACATCTTGCCTCTGCCGGATGCCAGCATTTAGAAGTTGCCATAATCGGGGTGAAACTTTTTTTTCTAATGTCACGTCGAAGCCGAAAGAAATCACCTACCGATTATATATGATTATTCAAGCAACTTACAAAGCCTGATTTCTCTGAACGTTCCCGTCTTTGGGCGTTTCCATTGTTCTTTGGCACATTTTTCGGAGCATAAGGCAGGAGGTTAAGAAGTTCTCACAGTCTGACCCGTCAAATTGTGAAATTCGTTAGCAGTCCCTTCAATATTTGGTTACAGCAGGAAGGTGGAGAGGTTAAATAGGAACTGAACAAAATTAGGGTTAGCGGGTAATATTTTTTATTAATAGCTCAAATGTATGGAGTGCTTACCATATACTACAGAATGTTCTTAGAATTTTTAAATAGTAATGAGGATACAAAAATGACACATACTGAGTGCCAGTTGTGCATCTGGCCCCATGAAGTATTTACACATTTAACCTTCAAGACAAAAGTATGAGATAGGTGGTATTATTTGTTATTGTTTTTTAAAACGAGAGAACATTTGAAAGCAATGAAGTAATGTGTCTTCAGGTTCAACTTGGAAGTGACAGGCTCAGATTCAAGTCCACATTTTTCTCACTGGAAAGCGGATAGAACAAGCTCTTGGTAGATGTCTTTTTACCGAGCAGATCTTGTTTTCATTCTCTTATACATTTAAGAACTGGCCCAGTTAGTCTGAGAAGTGTTTGGGCAGAGAGACCCTTGTCCTAGCAGCCTTGTCCACCTCGTGGTTTCGAGCGCCTCTTTGTGAGTTGGCTTTGAGTTAGTGGCGATGCCAGACCTTCCCTCTGAGAAAGGTGTTCTTGAGATGCCTTCCGAACCTTAATTGAACACCTACTATGTGCAAAGCCTGTGCGTGCTCAGGTGTATGAGCACGAATTAAACAGTCCGCAGGGAATTATAGACAGTGCGCAGGTTGAAAAAACTGTTGTGACAGTTGTCAAACATGGCACCAAAACTTTTTGACACTTTTCCCTTTGAGAGATGAGGTCTGTGTCTTCTCGCATCTGAACGGGCCTGTGACGACTTGGACCAATAGGACACGTGGAAATGACACTTCATGACTTCCAGGGTTTCAAAGGCTAGGTCGGAAAAGGCCACTGTAACTTTCGCCAGTCTTTCTGGGACCCTTGCTCTGGGGGAGGCCAGCTGTAATGTCAGAGATGGCTGTGCTGGAGGGGCCACAGGTTGGCACTCTGCTGGACAGCTCCAGTAGGCCTCCCAGCCAACAGCTACTGTCAGGTGCTGCCTTGCCATGAGCCATGTTGGGTGGCCAGCCCTGTGGAACCTTCCAATGATGTAGCGCCAACAGACTTGTGATGACAACCTTGGGAAACCCTGAGAGAGCCCTTCCCAAATTCCAGACTCTCTCCAGTAAAATGGTTGTTTCAAGCCACTGAATCTTGGTGGCTACTAAAACTACAGGAATCACCTATGCATCCAAAACCTTCAAGCTCTGAAACCAAGTATTGCGTGGTTTAATGTGTGTGTTTGTTTGTTTACTAACTTTTGGAAAAGATCAAAGCTTATAACCTGAATATATTCAAGTGTTAACAGTGATCACTTTATTTAGAGATGACATAAATTGTAAATGATATAGCTCATGCAGAACTTTCTATATTCATTAAAAAATTACCAGTACTTACTGTAATTACCGTATGATCTTTATCCCTCGATTTATCCTTCCTTTTCTGTTCACCAAAACCAGATAAAATAAGATTAAGATTGACCTTTATGCATTACCTGAAGTATAAATTTTAAATATTTGAAAACTTTAAGTGTGGGGGGAAATTCAGTCTCACATTTTATTTATCATCACAAAGAGAATTAGCTGCCTAATCTTGGCCGATGAGTATGCTTATTTTGCAGAATAATCATGATAATACAGAAAACTCCGCTTTTTCAGGAATTTAATGCTATCGACCACACACCCTCACTCCAATTACTTTTATGTTCTGGGACATTATAATTTAATAGCATATAGAAATTGTTACCAAGTTTTATTGTAAATACCACTTATACTGCCTCCCTCCGCTGGCTTTGCTGTCTCCAGCACTTCTCTGAGAATCTGTGTGACAGATTTGCAAACTCTTGGCCATTTTAATAACTGGGCTCAAGTCACGTCCCTGAGCCGTGGAGGAAATCGAGCCCTTTCTAAGAGCCTTGAACCTCTTTTTCTCTGTTCCTTCTCTTCTTTTTCCCTCTCATTCTCTTCTCTTTCTCTCCCCCCACCCCCTCTCCCATACACATACTCCCCATAAAATCTTATCCTGAATGAGCCACTGGGGTTGTGATATTTATTGATTGCCTTGATTACTCTCCTGAATCCCTCTCTCTGCTTCCAATCTAGGGAGAATATTTCAGTAAATGTTCACATTGGAGAAAAAGCATGCCAAAATGTATCATTCAGGAATTCATATTGAACATTATTGTTGCAGTTGCTCACATAAGTGATGCTGGCCCTAACCCACTTACATAAAAGATCGGAAGTCTTTGAGATTAAAAATAGCCTGTGTGGCATAAAATCTCCTTCATTCTATGTCTGAATAATTGGCACAAAAAGATTTGTGGTTCATCTCTCGACACTGATCTAAAGATATTAGGTTCAAAGTGATACGAATCAAGACTTAAATTGGATAGGCTCTCCCAGCAAGGAGGTGGCAGCTAGTAGGATGCAGGAACCTGGGGACAGTGCTGGCGCTCCTGCCCAAGGCCTGGCCATTCGAGACCAGGCTATGGCTTTCTGCAGCAGCGTTCGACATCCTCCCCACTCCGGTTGCCTTTATGGAAATAGAGCCGGTATTCATTTGACACCCTTTATTATTTTGTAATTATTCATTCGTAAATCCCCAAACTTTGGATTAGTTATCTTCAGCAATATGATTTTTTTTTCCTGCTCCTATTTTTTGTGAATGTTCTTGTTTTCTGAACTAAGGTAGAACGCCTTCCTCTTAGGTTAACTCCTGGGGCACATCTGTCCACGTACATGTCAAATTGGGCAAGCCACTGACCTGTGTGGCCCGAGAGGTTTCTCTTTTCGAGAGAATTCTGTAAGTGTCAGGTGATATTTCCTGAAACCTCTGTTATGGATAGCAAGCAAAGAGGTGGCAGACATTATTCGGGGAACCGGCACATTTGGGGAGCTGCCCTTTATTGGATATTCTCTCTGCTACTTAATAGTTTACTTTCAAAGCAAGTTCAAAGGGATAGCCCCACTTCTGCTGTTGGAAAATCAAGGCTCAAAGTAGTTACCAGTCCTGTCCAGTAACAAAGCTGTGATTCAAACTCAGGTCTGTCTGCTGCTCGAATCCGCACCCTTTGCACATTCCGATTATAACACATCCTCAGGCTTGGAAAGCGAAGGTCTAACCTGGAATGTTTCGTACATCTGATTTGCTAGTTTTCACCCATCCTTTTTCATCTGCCTCATGCAAGAGGCACAAGGGTGTGTCCCTAGGCACTGTGTAAACCAGTTATTGCCAACAGTGGGCACCGCGAGGCCCGACTGTTTAAGCTCTTACAAACAGGGAAGACCTGGAGAAAATCCTTCTGTAAAGTTACGATGTCCTTCACTGATTGAGCAGCTTCTTCGTGCCAGGAGCTGAGCTCTAGGAGGCTTCCTCGTGGAGCCTACCGTCTGGTGGAGGTGCCAGGAGTGTGGCGGTGAGGTGACTGGGCACAGGAAAGCCCTTGCTATGCCTAGAACAATCTGACACTGATTCCGTGATCTGTAGCTTTGGATTTTCACACGTTGGATAAGTTTTTAAATAGGGAGTAAAACTTAACAACTCGTGTATAGGCTAAGAGGGACTTTTAAGGCCAGACATTTCGAAAATCTTTGAAGGGCCCAAATCCTCACAGCAAATCCGTTAGCTTTGTGAGGCTAATGGTTTGGGAAGGCTAGCGGACTGGACTGAGTTTAACCCAGGAGGTCCTGAAGGTGGTAAATCCACAGGCATTGATTTTGAAAAGTTACAGCTCTGTGAGTGAAAGGCTGTTCCTGATTTCTAAAGGCGGGAGGAATCAGCTGCATCTTATATGAGAAATAGCATCATCAATAGAGCCAGTTGATATGTGCAGTAATTATATTTCTTTTCCTTCTGCTTCAGTAAATACTGGCAATGTGTATCAGGAAACAAAAGTTACAAAGAGAGATGGGATTCTACCTCGATGGAATTTTACGAGAGGAAGTAAAAGCAGACCATGATTTCAAACACAACTGAATGTTTAAGGTCAACTTGATGTGCACCTTCACGTCTCTACATGTACCCTTCACAAAGTGGCTTTTGCAAGCAAGTCTACTTTGCTTCCCTATGAGGTCTTGGCATTAATAAATGGAAGAGTTGCCTTCATGGATAGACATCCTACCCCATGGTACCTTTACATGTCAGTGCAAGGTAAAGACAACCTCAGTCCAGGTCGATGTGGTGGTTGGGAAAACGTGATCTCTGTGATTGAAACATTTGGTATTTGGGTGAAAGAATTTTTAGTTCCAGGAGGTGTGGGAAGTTTGAAGTCACTGGAACCATCCAGCAGTTTGAAAAGAGATCTGAGAACACCTTCTGGTGATTAGGAGGGAGCT